TATGATATTTTTAAATTTATATTTTATTCAAAAATAAAAACATTATCTATTTTTCAAAACCACATAAAATCATATTATATCGACATGGATAAAAAATAAAATGAAACATTGAAATGAAAATGTGTGTCTCGATGCATTGTACGAGTACCTTTCTAATAGTTAATAACAATACTAATAATCGATGTATAATTGGAAAAAGTGGGAAAAAAAAACTAAGGCATCTTATTGAAACGTTAATTCAAATGATGTTTGCACTAAGTTAGCTTATGCCAAATTAAATCAGACTTTTTAAATAAATTTTAAACATAAACCAGTTTATTGATGTTAAAATGGGCTAACGTTTTCATGTTACAGTATGTTGATGTAAGTTAGCATCTATTACCTGATGTTAGCATTTTCATTTAAGGAACAGTTATTGTATTTCAGTTATGATTATTAACGTACTAAATCTGTTAATGATTTCATTGTAACTTATTTAATTTCTGTTAACGATTTAATGTTAGTACTGATTAACCTAAATGACGATATTAACTTATATGAACCTCCGGTTATTACCAAAATGTTACCATATCTACTATCTTTACTCAATATATATAGATTTGGGATCATATGAGATCAGTCTGTTTTCATGATACCTGTAAGACCATTTTTTTACACTTGAAACTTCATAGCAAAATGTTGTGAAAGTTACGTTTAAAGTGTTTTTGCTGTGAAGGTTCGGCTTTTTTTACCTTCAAATCGTTTTGATGTGAAGTTTTAAATGTAAAAAGGTGGTCTCACGTGTCTCACGAGAATAAGCTAGTCTCACGTGAACCAACGCCCCCCCCCTCTCTCTCTCTCTCTCTCTCTCTATATATATATATATATATATACTATATTATAAAGTATTTGATAAAAACTTTTAAAAAGCATTTTTAATTCATGAAGTACTGTTTGTTGATGCATAGTACTTAAAATTCAATATTACAAGTAAATTGTGCGTAAGTATAACTTATTAAAGCTTTATGTTTGAATTCGTGTAACTAACGACAGATAAACATAATCTAGAGATAAACCTCTCATTTTTATATAAAAGAAAATCTAAAATATAATTAGAATAATAATTGAGTTTTAACAAAATACTTAATTATTATCTTTACAAAAAATATATTGTTAATCCAAAAATAAAATAAAAAAGCAATTAAAGAAATACACAAAAAAGAGAAACTCTAAATAGTTAGTTTGATACTAATATCAATATTGTTTTTTCACGTTTTTATGATATCTTCATATTTATATTTTATTTAAAAATAAAAACATTATCATTTTATCAAACCTTCATAAAACCATATTATAACATCGATTGAGACAAAAGAAAAAACGAAACATTAAAATCGAAATGTATCTCACTGCACTGTGCGAGTACAAATGATAAAAAACAATGTAAGATTTATTTTAATTGACGGATTTCTTTTCTCTAAAAGCAAATCTACGAAACGTTAAATACATGAAATTATCAGTCTATAAACATGTAATTACAGCTATATTTATCTTTTTAATCACGAATTTATTATTAATTTATAATTATATGAAGGTACTTTATAAAAAAAGCAAGATTCGACATTTCAGTAGTGAAACTTGTGATCTGCATATGTTCTGCCTCTTTTTATTTGATAATTACAGCTTAATTAAACATATGTTCAGCTACAAGTAAAATTACATAAACAGACGATAAATTCAAATTTTAGATTAATATTGTGATTATATTATGTATTTTTTAGAGGTAAAACAAATAATATTAAATATATTATTTATACTATGTTATAAAGCATTTGACAAAAACTCTTAAAAACTATTTGTTATGCATGAAGTACTGTTTATTGATATATTTAAAATTCAAGATTACAGGTAAATTGTGCGTAAGTACAACTTGCTAAAGCTCCATGTTTGAATTTCTGTAACAAACTACGGATAAACATAATCATATTGAGAATAAACATCTTATTTTAAAATCTAAAAAATTTAAAATATAATTAGGATAATTATTGAATTTTAACAAAATAATTAATTATTATCTTTATAAAAAAATTATATTATTAAACCAAATATAAATTAATTCGTTATTGAACCTAAATTAAATTATAATAAAAAAGCTGAATTAAAAAATTACATAAAAAATGAAAAAAATTAAATAATTAATTTTATACTAATATTGATATATTTTTGTCAAATTCTTATGATATCTTCGAATTTATATTTTTTTTTTCAAAAATAAAAAAAAACAATATAGTTTTTTTAAAATCACATAAGACCATATTATAACATCAACCGAGATAAAAAATAAAACGAAATATTAAAATCAAGATGTATCTCGCTACATTGCACGGGTACCTTTCTAGTTTATTTTAAATATATACAATTAGATACATATTTTAGCAAATACATTTATGAAATACCCTCAAAAATTGAGAATTTGTAAATTAAATCAAATTTATTAAATTATAATAATTTTTAATTGATAATTAAATAAATTTGAAAAGTGGGTACTTTCAAGATACGTTATATTTTCCAGAGACAACACAAATATAATTTTAAGAGGTCGTTTACCGAACACTTAATCGAGTAAGCATTTACAAAATCATACTACCATACCGGATGAATATGGTAAGTACCAAGAATTTTACTTGCAAGAGCGAGACTAAGACCAAGAGTCTTACCCGATAAGTGAAGTGACAACTCTTACAACAGTAAACATTTACTGGGTAAATTGTTGTACAGGATGTTGTTTCTCAAGTTCTTTATTACTTTTTCAAACTTTCAAGGTCTCGTGATTTTAACTTTATATCATTTATATTATTATTTATAAAAATCAAAATATAATAATTTATATAAATCCATATTTATTTTCATCTAAGAAATATTATTACTTTAATTACATACTTTATCACAAAAAAGAATTGTATTT